TAGAAAACAGGGCTCAGTCTATTTTGGGACAGATGTTATTATTGCAGTTTGGGGTTCAAAAGGTAAAATTTCTAGGGACTTGGGAAGATCACTAACACCATTAAAATACTTTTTTAAGAATATAAATACTTTCAGTCATTCTGTGCATTCGTCATACCTTTAAGGGGTTTCTAGGTGAATAAGCAGCCTCTAGTTTTGCTATCCGGGACAACTTTTGGATCAACCACAGCAGTGTGGCTGGTTTGCCGTGTTCTTCCCTCGCCTCTTCCTTCTCTTCTCTGTCAAACTCCGACTTTTCATCTGCACAGGCCTCAGATTCTTCTGTTGCTTCTCTGGCCACACCATCTCCTAAAGCTTCTTGTTTTTCCATGTCTTCTTTTATCCCACCTTGCTTATCCTCGGAATCAGGTTCCAGTAAATACAAGACTTTGGCCACAAACAACAAATTCTTAACAATCTTTAAAAAAAAAAAGGGCAAGGGAGAGAAACTGAACTTTGATTTTGAAACAAATAAGGCTTGTTAGAGCATAAGCTAAAATAGGTATTCCACCACTAGAAAATAAAAACAAACAACTGGGTGTTAACACTATTAAATTGATGACGGCTCCATTTTTTGATAATTATTAAGTTCCTTCTTATAGTGTGTCCAAACCCATTTCCCTGTAACTTTGATCCCTTTAAAGTCACATAAAATAAGTAAATGATTTCGTTCTGGGCCCTTCATTTATATTTTTAAAAATTTATTTCTATTTTTTTTTAGAGACAAGGTCTCATTCTGTTGCCCAGGCTGGAGTGCAGTGGTGGTGGCCATAGCTCACTGTAACCTCGAATTCCTGGGCTCAAATGATCCTCCTGCCTCGGCCTCCCAGAGTGCTAGGATTATAGGTGTGAGTCACTGTGCCTGGCCACCATTTATATTTTATTTTTTTTCAAGAGACATGGTCTCTGTTGCCTAGGATGGAGTGTTGTGCTGCTATCACAGCTCGATGCTGCCTTGAACTTTGGGTCTTATGTGATCCCCCTGCCTCAGCCTCCTAAATAGCTGGGGCTACAGGTGTGTGCCACCACCCCAGCTAATTAAAAAAATGGTTTTTTGTAGAGATGGGGTCTCACTGTGTTGCCCAGGTTGGCCTCAACCTCCTGGGCTCAAGGGATCCTTCCACCTCAGCCTTCCAAAATGCTGGGATTACAGGTGTGAGCTACTGTGTCCTGCCTTTATTGGGAATTCTAAATGGAGCAAAGAGTAATCCAAACATAAACCTCAGAGTTGACCAGACATATGTGTATAATTGCACATGTATTTAATAGTATGCCTACATTTCATCTAATTCCCAACCACTAAAATACGTTCAAAACAACAAATGTGTGCCTTTTCCTAGACTACTGGTTGATTACTGGTCCCTTCTATTAAACTGGGAGAACTACAGTTCTTACCTGTTCTCCTAGAGACTGATCCAAGAATTTGGAATGCAACTGATGGCAAGAAGCTAGAGAGATACTTTTCATCTATGAAAAGAAAACAGACATTGGCAGACACAACAAAGGACATTTCTGGTTGTTTTAAAAGCTAAACCTAATACTAACCATAATACAACTGATACACAAGATTTTGCTCTGAATGACCACCTGTATAGATCTACAGAGAAAAAGTTCATAGCCAGAAACAGTGTAATTGTTCCCTTGTACCTGCCCTAAGCATTTCGGCCCAAAGAAATGGGACACTTTCACACTCTGGGGAGATACAAGTAATAATCCCCTGGAATATTAGTAGAGCACTTTGCAACATTCTAATAATTTTTTTCTTCCTCTTTCATCCTTCACTCATTCAGTATTTATGGAGTTCCCACTATGAGCCAGGCATTGTGCTAGGCCCTAGGAAATCACAGACAGATATATCATGGTCTCTACCTAACACGTTCAAGAACATGATCTCATTCAGTTATCAACAAGGTTATAAAGGAGGCAGGACAGACAGTACTAATCTTACTTGCCAATGTTGACACAGAACTTGTACACATAATGGAAGGTAGGCATGATAAAAAAGCAAATTAAAAGTCTGACTAGACTGGTGGTCTAAAAATTATCTTTGAAAAAGCTTAGCCTTGAAGGTGACGCCTCTCCAGTTACTTCGACTCCTCTTGATTTATAGGGGGAACAACTTGTAGGAAGAGCTTCTCCCAAGGGCCAGCCCCAAGATAGTTACATGAACCAGAATGAACATCTCACACAGGTCACAAAGGAAGGAAAAGGTTTTAGAGAAACCTTACCTTTTGGTCAAGATCACTTGTTAGAAACCTGACTGCTACAGGTTCTGAGAGTTTCTTTTTAGTCTTTTTGGTATTCCATTTTTGAATAAGCTCCTCTGGCTGGCAAGAGGCAAAGAGCAATCCGAAAATCTGGGCTGCTGTGAGCCACACCCAGTTGTGCGGGTGTCTCAGGTGAGAGTGCACGTGACCTAAGGAAACCAAAAGGTATTCTCAGATGTCTCAGAGCTTCCCTGATTCTTTGGTGACAAATATGACTTACACATTTATTGACTATCTATTATATTCTTGGACAAAATATATCAGAGGCTGGGAAGAGGGGTAGGGGAATGAAGACAGGTTGATTAATGGGTATAAAAACACAGATAGAAGGAATAAGTTCTAGTGTTTGATAACACAGTGGGCTGACTATAGTTAACAACAGTGTATTGTAAATTTCAAAATAGCTAGCAGATTTGAAATGTTCCCAACACAAAGAAATGATAAATGTTTGAGGTGAAGGATATCCTAATTCCCTGATTTGGTCATTACATATTGTATGCATGTATCAAAATATCATATGTACCCCATAAATGCAATTTTATGTATCAGTTTTTTAACAAAAGATGAAAAATAGTCCTTCTTCCCAGAAGCTCAGAGGGAGCTAGGGAGAAGTGGGGTGGAGACACTGAACAACTAGAAAACCAATTCCTAGCTTGGGAAGTGACACTAAAGGGGTACGAACAAGCCTAAAAACAGACGTATTCCCTAAGAACTAGTTTCACATTCAAGGGAGATAAGATGGCATTAACATTTACATTTTCTAAAGTAAGTAATGTAAATAAGTACATAGATACATGTTTGTTTCTAATGATTAGTGAAATTGGTGGCAGCGGCCTAGAAAGCTATCATTTATTGAAGGCTTTCTATGTGCCAGGGACAGGCTAAGCGTGTTACATATATTATCTCATTTAGACCTAACAACAATTCTGTGAGGTTGGAATTGTCATTTTCATCTGACAGATGAGGAAATGGGTCTTTCAGAGAGGCTGAGTGATGTGCCAAGTGATAACAGGCAGAGCCAGGCCTGGGCCCCCGCTTGATCTGACCCCAAAACTCCTAATTCTTCAGTGTTAGGCTATATGCTATTCTCCATCAACCACACTTGGAAAGTACAGTTAAAAGGTCTTATAGGCCGGGTGTGGTGGCTCACGCCTGTAATCCTAGCACTCCGGGAGGCCGAGGCGGGCGGATTGTTTGAGCTCAGGAGTTCGAAATCAGCCTGAGCAAGAGCGAGACCCCGTCTCTATTAAAAATAGAAAGAAATTAATCAGACAACTAAAAATATATAGAAAAAATTAGCAGGGCGTGGTGGCGCATGCCTGTAGTCCCAGCTACTTGGGAGGCTGAGGCAGAAGGATTGCTTGAGCCCAGGAGTTTGAGGTTGCTGTGAGCTAGGATGAGGCCACGGCACTCTACCCTGGGCAAAAGAGTGAGACTGTCTCAAAAAAAAAAATAAAGGTCTTATAATGTGGGTGTCAGGGAATAGGATAGATTAACTGTGTCATACCTCAGTTTTAGTCTCTGCTGCTGTATTTCATGAACATGTTTTTACTTTTGTTCTCTATGAACGGTTGTTACAATCTGGCCATGTCTTAGTGGAGCTATACCAGAGTAGGTCATACAGTTAACCTTACTTCTCACAGAATCTTGAGTTCTGGCTCCTAAACCAGGTGGGTATTTTAAGTGCTCATTCCAATGTCTATTTTCCACTGACTAGGCAAAATTGAGCATGTTAAATTAAAAATTCTGGGGTCTTATTTATTTAGAGAGTGATATACAGTTATGCACTAAATGACATTTCAGTCAACTACAGACTACATATATGACAGTGGTCCCCCTAAGATTATAACACAGTTTAACACAACTCATAAAAAAAAGATTGCAATATGTACCCTATTTTTACTATACTTTTTCTGTTTAGGTACACAAATACTTAAAATTGCCTCTAGTATTCAGTACACTAATATGCTACATAGGTTTGTGGCCTAGCAGCAATAGGATATGTACCATATTGCCTAAGCGTACAGTAGGCTATACCAACTAGGTTTGTAAGTACACTCTATGATGTTTGTACGTGACGAAATCACTTCATTTATCAGAACATAACCGCATTGCTAAGCAATGCATGACTGTATAATAAATGTCCCATAGAAGTGAAATAGTTTAATAAATTATGGCCTATTTACACAACAGACTATCATATAGCTATTTAAAAGGATATCTACTAAGTGTGCTATAGTATAGTGATATACTTACTTAGGTACAAACAGGATATAAAAGTTTATATGGAACTAAGCAACATCTCAAAAAATCCTTTGCTTATTTAATAGAAAGAAAGACTGGGTGGAAAAATAGACCGTGTGTGTGTGTGTGTGTGTGTGTGTGTGTGTGTGTGTGTATACACACACACAAAAACAACATGTTGTACACTGAAAATATATACAATTTTTATTTGTCAAGTATAGCTTAATAAAGCTGAAGGAAAAATTAAAAAAAAAGGGATAAAAGAGAAATACATACCAAATTATGATTAAGTAGCAAGCAGGACTTTGGGAATCTTTCCCTTTCTTTTATTGCCCCATAGTTAATACTTTTTACTTATGAAGTCATAACTATATTTTTTTCAGAAAGAAAATTTTCACTGTAATTAATCTGGTAAGGCCTTTAAAATTTTTTTCATGGACTTTTCCCCTGACATTAATTTTATACTTTCTGAAGTATTCATCATATTCTAAATTCCCAAAACTCTTTTCAGTAATTCCATCACAACAAATGTGTTTGTTTTTAGATTTAAATAAAAAAGAAATACTTACTCCAGATTTTACTCAGAGTCTCAGAGGGTCTGGTAAACTGAATAATATTACATTCCTTGATGAGTTTCGTTATCAGTGTAAGAAAATTAAACAGAAGCCGATCTGCAGCCTTCTCTTCAGCCTCTTCCATGATCTAAAATGGATGTAAATTAATTAAAACAACAATTTGAAATTATCGGATGGACATTTTTACTCCAGCATGTAAATCTGCACCAGAGTTTCTCAACTTCAGCACTGCTGACATCCTGTGCTGTGCGGCTGCCACGGGCACTGCAGGACACTTAGCAGCATCCTGGCCTCTCTACCCACCAGACGCCAGTAGCAACCCCCACCCTCCAGCTCTGCAACGGACAGTGTCTCCAGAGTTTGCCAAATGTCCCATGGGGGGCAAAATTGCCCCAGTTGGGAAACTTCGATCTTCATATACTTTAATCCTCATTTTTAAAAAAAGTTCTAACTGCATTGCATTTTTGCCTTTATTGATAAAGTTTTTTGAACACAAATAATATTTAATATTTAACCTACTAGCTATACCACCTGAAGTAAAACTATAAAAGTTAGCAAAAGCTTTATTCCCTAGCAAATTACTTACATCTTTGAAGTTTTCTGGATCAATTTCCTTTTCGACCACAGGAAGGACAGTTTCAAGTCTTCTCCCAAAATCAACTCCTTCACTTTCCACAAAGAAGCCACAGATCAAGGCAGCGAGTTGTCTATTTAAGCGCTACCAAAAATAAACCACCACAAGACAATGTCAACAGGAGGTGGGAGGCCACTTTCAAAATTATAAAATGAAAGTGGGCCTTATTTTGACCTCAACATTCAGAGACAATAAAAAATATTTCTTTCTGATGCCAGAAATCAATAAAATATGGAGTTTTGACAGCCAATATACAAAATGGAAAGAAGTTTCACCCTCATCCCCAAATTATCTGGGTATGAAACAAGTTAGTCATTAACATTGGACACATGTTGTTTATATTCCACAAAGATGGGCCAAGGATGTTGGTCACAGAATTAGCCAGTGGACAGAATGATAAAAATTACATTCCAGAAACTGAATAAGCAAAGTTGGAAACAAAGGTATTCATTAATAGAAGCTACTTAAGTAAATTATAGTATGTTCACATTGTGGAGTACTTTGCTAACATTAATAAAGTAGCAGGAATACAGGTGGGTTTTATGTTACTTTTTATAACTTCTTATACTTTCCAAAGCTTTAAAAATATATTATTTTTCTACCTTAATGGGCAGGTAGGAAAAAAAAGGATTATTTGCATAATCAGATAAAAATAAAGCTATTTGGGAAAAACCAATTCAACAATGTATAATATACATTCTTATTTAAAGTACCAAAAGCTAAGATTTGTCACTGAACTATGACTAAAAGCAATGATAACCTTTTTTGCTCCAAACCAGGTGGTAACCATATCAAACAGCCAGTCTTTTTTCTCGAGGTTGATTTTACAGAGTAAGGATTTGATTGTCATGGATGCCATCTTTTTGCACGTGGCAGAGTCATCATTCACCATCATTAGACAAAGAGGAATAAAGAACATTCCGCAGTTCTCGTGGAGTAGTCCCTAAAAGAAAGGAGGCATCTGTGAGCACACTCAGGATGGAATTCCTACAGATGCTCTAGCAACGGAGGACTGAGGGCTCCCAGGGCTCATGGGGAAACGCAGCTGAAGAGCCTGTCTTTGGGATCACAGTACCTGAGGGAATGTGTCAAAGAGATAGGCAATCATTTCCAAGGTGGATTCTCTCCCGGTCTCGTGTTCATAACTAGGGCAAAGACATTAGATAGATTTGTTAGTATCTTTTAAATTTACCAATAATTACTTAAAAAGTTTAAAATATTTTATCAAGGTATTAGTCTGTTTCTTAAAAAATGAAAAACACCCCATTTCCCCAATTCTAATGTTTGTATATATATCCATTAGGCTACTGTGCAGTTTTAAATGTAATTCTGTTAGATTTTCAACATTCTCCTAAGTGTGGACTCTTAAGACAATCAACGGTCGGACTAGACTGAAAAGCAACTTATGGAACTGCTATATGAAGCCATGCACAATGTTTGATAATCAAGTCAACGAGTCATGTAATAGCATCCTCAATGAATGTGCCACCATGTTTAGGCTTTGCCCTTTTCAAGTCAGTTGCCACATTAAAGGGAAAGAAGAAACTACTCCCCTGCCCCTGTATAGTTAATGGCTTAAACTTACTTCAGTTGAGCAAGCAGGAATTCCAAGTTTGGTCTCAATTTGTCACCCAGGGGATAGTCAAGAATATATTTCAGAAAAACCTAGGAACAAAAGTCACACAGATGATTATTTGGATCCTGTCTATAGGTTATAAAAACCTTTCAGCCAGGCGCGGTGGCTCACGCCTATAATCCTAGCACTCTGGGAGGCCGAGGTGGGTGGATAGCTTGAGCTCAGGAGTTTGAGACCAGCCTGAGCAAGAGCGAGACCCCGTCTCTACTAAAAAAATAGAAAGAAATTAGGTGGACAACTAAAAATACATATATATAAAAACATTAGCCAGGCATGGTGGCACATGCCTGTAGTCCCAGCTACTCGGGAGGCTGAGGCAGAAGGATCGCTTGAGCCCAGGAGTTTGAGGTTGCTGTGAGCTAGGCTGATGCCACGGCACTCTAGCCCGGGCAACAAAGCGAGACTGTCTCAAAAAAAAAAAAAAAAAAAAAAAACCTTTCAGAAGGGCAATCAAACAGGCCTTCCAATGGACTCCAGCTAAGTCTGCCTACTAAATCAGCAACAACCATGATCTTTCCTTTCTCCCACTCATTTATCCAGGTCCTGCCCTTTGTGTCTGACTGAGTCAAATCCTGGCCCACCACTGGCATGGTCGTTTAAGACTCCAAATCTAAGCTTGCATGTTGCCGATCTTACTGATAAGTGTGTGGTTTGGTGGACTGAGTGTAGACGGTGGTTCAACCCTGTATCTCCCCTTGAACAGGATAATACTATGGTGATAATATTAATACTGCTAATAATAACTAATGCATTAAAAACCTTCTATGTGTCAAGCACTGTGTTAAGTGTTTCTCGGTTAAATCTCATTTTACAGCTGAAGAGAATGAAGTTGGCCCAGAGAGAATAAGAACACTGCTCGTGTGACAATACCAGAATTCCAGGCCTAGTCTATCTGTGTCCAAAGGCTACACTCTCAAAACACTATGGTGTTCAGCCTCCTTTATTAATAAACTGACAACTAAGGGATGTCATTAAACTTCCAAGGTCTGCTTTTTCCCTAGCCATGAAATGGGGATGCTGTTTCTTCTGAAGGGCAGTTCTAGATACAGGTCATGTATGTAAATGCTAGGCACACAGCTAATACTTAATAGCAGCTGGTCCTCTTTTTTCCTAATAGTAGCCAAGCACATTTTTCCAAGGACATGCTTCCTCCCTTCTACTCTGGCCTCCTTAGCAGCCCAAACCCACCTGCAACCCCAAGTCCATATTTCCAATTGAGATCTTACCACCTCTTGGGCATAATGTGTGCTCATATTAGGGATGGACAAATGTTACCCCTCTGCCTAAGGATATATAGCTCCTTACTATTCCTACAATAAGCCCCAAATCTCTAACAAGAACACAAGGTCCTGCCTGACCTGGCTCTCCACCCCCAGCCCACACACCTGCATTTTGCCCCCAACCAAACTAAGTTCTTACCCACCTCAAGGCTTCCCTTCCTCAGGTCTCTACTGCCCCTTCAGCTGGAATGCTAATCCTCGTTCTTCCTTCAAATCTTGGCTTACCTGTCCATACTCAGGAAAGCCTTCCTTGACCTCCTACACTAGCATGCCTGAATCTCAGAATAAAGTGACAGTATGACACGAAGTAGCCTTCGGAATTCAGCCAATGTTGACATTTCTCTACAGATGTGGCAGGGCCCAACCTTTGCTACAAGAATAAGCTCTCTCTGCAAACCTGTCGGCACTGGACTCTGGCAGGTTCACTTTGAGCAGAAATTGCCAACTTGGATACTTTCCGCATGACATCATCAATTTCCGGGACCAACAACTTTCTTGATAAAATAGCCTGAAATACAAAAGGAAAAGACATAGTCATTTCGTGTGTTTTACTGCAGATGGATGTAAGTAGACTTGATGCTAAAGTAGTTGCCAGCAGTTTTGAAACACAGTGAAAGTATCCTCAAGAGAAAAAGAACATAATCTTAAAAATGGTTAAAATAGTGAATTTTATATTACGTACATTTTACCATAACAAGAAAAAAAACCAATTTCCAATAAAATTTTCAATATGATAAATCAAAATAGAGTACCTGTATGTGTACAGAATTCTCTGGAAGTGGTAATTCAGAGCTCATGTACAAACATTTTCCTAAGTAGATAAGTTAGCTTGTAACTGACCCACCAAAATTATTAACAATTTTTATAAATTACTTAATTTTAGGAGTCTACAGCTAGCCGAAACATTATGTTCCACATTATTCTGAATTTCTGATGTGAGGCTCATAAACTGTAAAAGCCAACATTTTGGTGACATTCTACCTTCAGAAGACCAAATGCTGTGGCTTGTCTTGAAGTGTCATAAATGTCCTCCTCAGCATATGCCAGTAGAACTTGGAGCTGTTTCTCAGTTATCTGGTAGGACCTGACTTTCTTGACAAGTATGGTCACACACTGCAAGGTACAAGAGTGAAGTTAGCAGCCAGCACATCCCACAAGGCAGGATCCAGAGAAATGATAAGGACTTAATATAACACACAGGTGTCCTTTTCTACACAGGATGCCAACCCTCTAGCCTCAGCAAATTATTCTAAAAAAATGTGGACCAAGACCACAAAGGGCAATTGGGAAACTATCTTTGATGTTAACCCTGGTTCTGGCTGTCTCTAAGTGCGACTGAAGACATCTCACCTTGAAACAATTTACCACCAGGTGGAAGTTCTGGCCCCGGGCAGCCCCGAGTTTTGCATACTCCTTCAGCAAAAGGAAAAGGTGTTTCGTCAACTTTTCTGCTCGTGTTTCTATGGAAGGCAGAGGGAACCTTAAGACCCAGATCAGGCATTGTAAAGCACCTGTGATCACCTGAAAAAACAAAACAAAACAATAAACTGTGAAGTGACCAAACCCAACGATACAGCAGCTCAGGCTCTGCAGACTCTATAAATAATTGAGCTGAATAGATAAGATGCTGTGCCCAGCTCACTCTGGAGGAACTGTGCCCAAAGTGTAAGAAGATAAGAACGTTTCCTATGCCCTGTTGTAGAACTTACTGCTTATCCACAGCAAGTGAAGGCAGATCACAAGGAAGTAAGAAAAGCTGCTTACTTACCATATCCCTACCCTACATGCGGGTCAATGATTTGGATGGGTTGGCCAATTTTAGGATTTCTTTTCTTTTTTGAAAAATACATCTTAAATGACTTTTCTGTTTTCTAGAATGGTACTTCAGTGTGATTCACTCTTACTAAGCTTATATTAGGTAAAAAGGCACCCTACTGGGTATTATAAATACAAAGAACAAAGGACACCATCTCTGCGTCTGAGCAGATTGTTGGCTCAGAAATTAAGCATGCAAATAATTAACTATTGCTTACCATAGTTAAGTGCTATGCAAAGGATATGGAAAAGTGCGCTGGGATCAAGTGATCATACAGAGAATCCCTGAACCTCTGAGGCCAAACCTTAGTAAGTGTCGGCATCAGCTAGTTAAGCTCTGTCTACCATAACCTTACTGCTCTGGCTGCTATGAGGGCCTCACTGGGCTGGACTAGATGAAGACAGAGAAGAAAGCTTCTTTCTGGGAGTCAGAAAGACCTGGTCTTACATCCCAGCTCTGCAACTGACTACCTGTTTGAGTCTAGATATGTAACTTAACCTCTCAGCACCTTCATCTGTAAAGCAGGCGATATGAGAAAGTGGAAGGCTTAGGCTTAGGCGTCTGACAGCCTAGATCTGTGACTAGGCCCTAGCTCTAGTTTTCTCGTCTATAAAACAGAAACATTAAGAATATATGCCTCAGGGGTTGTTATGAGAATGAGAGATACCTTTAGTATTCATAACACGGAGTAGCAGTAGTGACAATGGTGACGACGACGATGATGATGGTGATGATAGGCAGGGGGAGACCACTACTCAACCTCATGAAGTTGTTGTGAGAATCAAATGACATAATTAATGTACCTAGGAAAGCTTTTAAAACTGTTAAGGGCTATTCAAACATATGGGATTATTAAATTGGGAAGCAATTTAACATAGGCAATAGTGGTGATTCATGTCATATATCCCTCTGGAAACGCAATCATGTCATGAAGCACGAGCACACACAGCTCTTGTGCAGGCACGGATGCTCCAGTACAGACTGCAAACCAACACTCACCTTCACGTCCCTAGAACCCAGGCAGTCTATGAGGAGAGACACAAAAGGATCCAACATTTCCAGCACATGGTCACTTGAAGACTTAATCTTGGAAGTCTTCAGACTCAGATGCAGCAGCTAAAAGATTTAAAAATTTAAAACATGAGTTGCCTATAAGACCAGATGAGTTGGATAAATATAAAACGATTTTGAGACAAACAAGAAATATTAAAATACTTCTACTTAAAATGATAAAAATTTTTAAGAAATGAGAAACTGCCTGGGAGAGTCTCAGTAAGTCAAGAAGGTAGGAGCTCACTGAGCAGCTGAGATGCTAAGTCCATTTACCAAACGGTTACTCAGTGTCTACTGTGGTTCCAGGCACTGGCTCAGTACGCAGGACACAGCAATGACCAAGACAGACATGATCCCTGTCCTGATGGATCTTAGTCATGAAGACAGACTCTAAGGAAATGATTAAGTACGAATGCAGGTTGCTCTGAGAGTTTTGCAGGGAAGGGTGGGTGGTGAGATCCCAGGATAGGAAAGGGTGTGGTGACTTTATAGACCTGAAGGGACACCAGCGTGGCTGGAATGAGTGTTGGAGTGGAATGTTATGAGGCTAGGACCTTGCAGCCCAAATGAAGACTAGACTCTCTCCTAGGAAAAATCAGAGTCAATGAAGGGTCTTAAAAAGGAAAATAAACTGATCAGATTTGTGTTTTTAAAAGGTCACCATCTTTTAAAAAAATTCAAAGTCGTTTAGAGGTGCTCATGGGCAAAGCAACAGTAAAACCCTAATAAATATTAGGTCAGAATCATTAATTCTGGGACAGTTATATCATCAAAGCAAGCATAGGAAGAGATATATAGTAAATGGACCAATGTGCCTTTAAAAACAATCTAGAGTTTATTTACATTAAGGCATTTCTAGTAGAAGTGAGAAGTACTGGAAATTCGGCAGAAGATTAAAAGGTATGAAGGCAATAAGTCTCATTTTAAGGTTAATTCTTACCCGAAGCCCAGACTCAATAAATATGTGCATATTAGTTTTCCTGCTCACAACAGCTTTCGGCCCCCCTCGGACTGGAGTTGGGGGGAGCAGAAGGCAGCTCTGGGGTGGTAGACGTGGATCTGGTGCAGGGGCTACTGGATTTCTGTCAATCACGTGGAATGAAAACAGGAGAAAGAGCAGTCAGCTGCATTCTAAAAAGTTTCTGTGGCCCTCTAAGGTTGATGAGAGCCCACCCTAAATAATGTGCCATTTGTTCTAGCTTTTCTGCTCCTTAACTCTAAGACACAGAAGAGATGATTAGGTTGTTGATCACGGTTACTAGGACAACCCTCAGAAATGGAGGTCAGATTGATAAATACACATTTAAATTACAATGAACAGCAGCAAAGGACACACCCTTTGTTTGCCTTCTGAAAACAAATACCAAGGAGTCTCTCTTAGAACACAGAAGCAAAATTCAAAAGAAGTTTACTAATATATAAGGTATTTTAAAATCTTCGAAGGTCTAAATCTCTGTTTAATCAGAATAAGAGGTATATATTTAAATTCTATCCTAGCTTTGATTCAATAAATATTTAAGACAAAATGGTAGCAGAGAAGGTCAAAATAACTGGCTGCTGTCACAGCTACCTCATTCACAAGAAAAACAATTTCATGTTGAAATGTATCATTTCACAAAGTAGTACTATCTTATAAATCAGATGAACATATTAATAATTTTTTTAAACTGAAGCAAATTATGAAAACAACCCACTGAATGGCTTATCAGAAACAAGCACCTAAAGGATAGTTTATTTATTTATTGTTTTCAAACTTACTTTTCTTTCTCTGTTAACAGGGGAAGATTTTCACTGACCAAACCGTAACTGAGCAACAGAATGGATTCTGCCGTCATCTCCTGATTTACGATTAATCCTGCTATGATTCGGCGTAAGGTTTCGTGCACTTTCCGGGCCAGTTTTAAACTGGTGGTATTCTGTAAGATCTAAAGGCAAACATAAATGTCATGCTGAGATAACACAGAACTACATTTTGATACAGTTTTCAAACATAATGGTAGTTTTCTCTTATATAATATTCGCTCTCTAATTTTTTTTTTTAATTAAAAAAATTCTTAAAATTTCAAACAGGCATAACATATAAAGTAAAAGTTACAGGTAACTTCAACCCCAGAGACGAGCACTGGGCAGTCTGTTGACTGTGGATTTCTTCCACTCCCTCCCAGCTCTCTGTAGGTGAGGGCTCAGGGCACACCGCCAGAGACAGGATGGGAGAAGTCCAAGTTAACGCCAACCCTCCAGATGCAGGGGGCATTTTATAGGCAAACACACACAAATACACACATATACAAAATCAACAAAATGAATAGTCACTACTCATAGGAAACCACATGAATGAAGTGCTGCCATGGCCAAGCCTCAGGGTTTGATGCTAGTTGACTCACCGGGAACCCAGGATCATCCACTTTGACAAAGCACTCAGCTCTTCATAGCTATTATCTCACACAAGACATAGTATTCATAACTTTCATTACTTTGGGGGATTTTATAATACACATCACAGATTTATGTGCTCTGCTGACACTTCTCATCCTCAAAACATATCTCACATTCTTAGATCAGGCTCAGATAAAACTAAACGCAGTCTAAGAATACTTATGAAGTTCATCTAGCACCAAAACATCTGGAATTAGAGTAATTCATGTCATGAGACAGTGCTTTTTACTCTAGTTTTCATAAATAAAAGTGTAATAAAATGAACTAATAACATTTATTCAATGTTCACCCCTGCAATAGGCACAGAAAAGCAATAGGAAGGTGGGTATATAGTTCCTGTTCTCCAAGAGGCAGAATGAAACCACAGAAAGAATGAGCTTTGGATCAGAAAGATCTGGAACTTGGCCAGGCGCAGTGGCTCACGCCTGTAATCCTAGCACTCCGGGAGGCCGAGGCGGGCGGATCGTTTGAGCTCAGGAGTTCCAGACCAGCCTGAGCAAGAGTGAGACCCCGTCTCTACCACAAATAGAAAGTAATTAGCTGGACAACTAAAAATATATAGAAAAAATTAGACGGGCATGGTGAGACATGCCTGTAGTCCCAGCTAGTCGGGAGGCTGAGGCAGGAGGATCGCTTGAACCCAGGAGTTTGAGGTTGCTGTGAGCTAGGCTGACGCCACGGCACTCTAGTCAGGGCAGTAGAGTGAGACTCTGTCTCAAAAAAAAAAAGAAAGATCTGGAACTAAATCCTGACTTTACTCCTTCACCATGTCCCTTTTCTACCTTTCCAAGCCTGCATTTTCTTATCTGTAAAATGTAAGTACCATCAATCTCATAGGCTGGTTGTACAGATTAGAAGAGATAACATAGCAGTGGTTACAACATAATATATGATCAATAAATGCCAGCTCTCTTCTGCTTGGCAATATGGGAGTGGCAATATAATTCCAAAGTCTTGCTAATATATGTTTGTTTTTTCTAATTAAAAATTCTTAATAAAATTTCAAATGTAGATATACATATAAAATAAAAGCTCCCCATAATCTCAACCCCAGAGGTTGCCACTGTGCAGAGTTTGTGTGCTCTGGATTTCTTTACATTCTTAGAAGCTGAACCAACCTAGCTGTAAAATTCACCCGCATTCATTCCAGCTGCCTTTCCTTTTTCACCTCAGAGTTTACGTCAGGGACTATGACTCTTGCATTATAGCACTCAGGGCTGCCATTTAGTGGCCCTGTGGTACTGGTGCCCTTGGCACCGAAAGAAATGGTGGGTGATCACGTACAGTGTTACGGTTTGCCCTGTAAGGCTCCTTTTAGGAACATATGATATTGCAGCATTAGGATCTCTTGTATCACAGTCAAGCCCTTACCTCTTTTAAAGGGAGGATAAGTTTTACAACCTGATCTTTTCCTACAAACTTGCCCAGGATTTCATAAGAATCGTAACTCTTGCTTCTTCGTGCCTCCATGACTTTGGAGAGAATCTGCTTTACTTCCTTCTCTTCAGCAACGGCACCGAACAACTCATGGTTAAAAATCTTTGAGAGAAAAAGAACAAATGGCAATCATGTGAACTCAGCAAGATATGCCAACATAAGCAGTCTTTGGAAAAAGGAACTGGTGAGTCCAAATCAAAGGAAAGCAAGTTGGACTGGACCGAAGGTAAATGGTAGGAAATTTTTTTAGAATTCACTTGTTTTCAATGCAATTTAGGGATCAATCCCTAGAAAACACACACACACAGAAATACTTGAAGGCTGATACTAACGGGAAACAAAGAAAAAACGTTTACAGATGTGCATATAAAATTGTATAACTATATAGACAGGTATGTCTTTTTTGATATTACCAAAGAGAAGCTTAATTTCCCTTCAAGAAATTCTCATGCTCTTTGCAGCTGAATTATTGAAATTAATGTGAATATTTAAATTGAGATTCAAAATGTTAGTGTCAGTATTTTTAAATAAATGAACAAAAGGTTGTGTGGCAAATTTATTCTCTTCCTAACCCTAGCTCCCAAATTAGTACATTATCTAATTTTAAACGTTATTATTTACTTTTCACTATTATAAATAAAGCTCTGGTGAATATACTTTTATTCATTTAAAATAAATTCTTGGAAATGACTGAAAATTTTTGCTCATTTCAAAAAGCTTTTGGTACACAATGTCAACTTTCTTTCCAGAAAGATTGGACCAATTTATGATCTACTGGCAATGACAGAGTGCCCATCTCACTTGGGTCTTAGCTAATCTAAAAGATGGGACAATACATTATTTTCATTTTTGTAGGCTATTATTATTTCTTATTTTGTGAACTGATTTTTTTGTATCTTTTGCTCACTTAAAAAAAATTTGAGGCCGGGCGCGGTGGCTCACGCCTGTAATCCTAGCTCTCTGGGAGGCCGAGGCGGGCGG